TCGAAAGTTTATAGTTTAGAAACGATCGGAGCAAAGTTTGTTAATGTATTGCCTCGATTTTAGAACCAAGTACGTACCTTTCACGTCCGCTCAATTTTATCAAAAGGATCGTAAATAATTCATGATATCCAGTAATCTGGAAGGCAATATAAAAAAATATTGAACTAACTTCAAGTGTACGAGGAGCACGGTCATACTGGAGGAATTATAGGAAATAATAGAGAATTATAGTGTATTACTGTTCTTATGTATGACGAGAAATAATTTCATCGATCAATTAACAGACTGTAAAAAATTCTACATCACTGACTCGATGACTTCCAAGAAACGAAAGATCTGTTTGGTAAATCTGATCATCGACTATGCAAAAAGTTGTCTAGACAACTTGCAGCTCAAAGAATTCTCTCGAACCAGGTTAATTGTATTTTTCGTTCAATCGACGACCAAGCGTAGGTGTTACAAAACGTTACCTCTCCATTCTTTTATCAGCATTTCCTCCCACCATTTATTGCTTTGTTATCAAGATACGACTCCAAACTTGCGTTTCGACGGTTTTTCATTAACTGCAGATATGGGATTTACTTTCGATTCAACGCGTATTGAATGCATATTTAAATAAAATTTAAATTAAAAGATTAGGATAATAACGCAAATATTATCATTGTCGAGAAAAAAGCAATTAATCATGAACTTAATTTGCCGTATATGCTCGCGCGAACATCTAGGGACTGGTTTTCGCTTCTAGAATGGTCGACGAACGATCGTAACCGGTGCGGTGAGGAAGCAGCTGTTTAGTTTTAAAGCTTTAATCTTTCGGTATGTAACAGTAGCTACGCATACAAAGCACACAGGCCAATGCACGTTCTCTAACTGCATCAGCTGCGTGCATGAAATACGTTCTCCGAGTGAATTAGAGAACGTTTTCGAGCTTCGTATCAGTGTCAATTTAAAGAAATTTTAGCGGCAGTAAAGTTTAGTATCTCTAAATAGAAATAAATGCTATTAAACCATCGTAAGTTCGAATTGAACAATATTTAGACTTGTTCAACTTCCATTAGGAACAAATAGGTATTAATGTCTGGTACTACTATGTACAAAGGTTATGCGACAAGTGAAAAATTGTCGTGGTTGGACAAAGGTTCTTTGTTAATGCAAACGTTCTGCAAGGTATTACATAAAAACAAACTGACTGCAAATTATGCAGCTACGAGTACCGCTAATAGATGCGGAAATTAGAAATAATGTAACTTGAAATTTGATTTACACAACTTTGCTGTTATGTCCGAATTCTAAATTATTTCAGTTTCTCTACAAAAGTGGTTGCAAATCCAAGAAGGAAAAGATAGGAGGTCTTCTTATCGCCGAGGTGAATATTATTATGATTGTCGGATGTAACGTTCGTCGACAAACGGTATTAATATTAATAACACAAGAATTTTCAATGAACCAACGGTATCATTGTCATTTATTTTCCAACTTGCAACATCAACATGTTCAGATTACGTGCATTTGGAAGAGAAAAAAGTTATATTAGCTTATTCGCGTCACAGACAGGCGAACACGAATTTCCTGAGTTCAAACTTCAGGGTTTACGCGCTTCCGGAAAGTGGCAGGGTTCCAACCGCAATAATTATGTACTCTATTTTTGCGAATGCCGCCAGGGACCGATGACAGTGACTGGTCCGTTGGTTATAAACCGATTGGTGCGATCATCCTTGACCTCCTCCTCCTCAAGTACGATTCTTTTGGATACGAGCCTATTATATCGAAACGAATGGAGCGTGATAACAAGAGAAAGTATTGTTGTTGTCGAAAAAATGAATCAATCAGCAGATCGATATCATTAATTCCGTGATGTACAAAGAGTGGATCAAAGGCGAGACAGGATGTTGTTGAAACGTATACTGATTAATATGTTTGCCCGTTGTATAACGTTAAAAACACTTTAGAGAGAGGATACTCACCGATGGCCTAGATAGTTAATCGCGTTGATTGTCATGGGAGGTCAGCGGTGGTCATTGGTGCTCGACATCACCAATTGAACGTGGTCGAATTGTTAAACAAAATTTTGTTTTTCCGTCGTTAAAATATTCTACCTAATTTTAGTACAGACATCGTTGCATACTTTTTGTACGTCTGACTCACGGATGACCTGTCTGTGTTGTTCCAGGGTTAAATATTCCGTCGAGTCTAGACGACCTAATGACGTTGATCACGTGCATTCCCGTTAACGCGTGAAAACAACGAATACACGGATGTAATTGATTCTATAACGCAGACGGAACAGTTCAAAGGTAAAAGTGGGTGTTCAAACGGATTATACACTTATTAACATGTCGGCTAAACAAACTACGCATACGCAGAAATGAAAGTGACGCATCAATCTTTCCAGTGAAAAATAGTTACATATACTCGACGAAAAAATCGTGCGTTTTTACGGCGCGAATTTCGCGACCTCGGAAGCGTGTTTATCCGCAATTATGGGCAAACTTTGCGAGCTTTACGACTTGTAAATGAGATATTGCGAGTGTACGATCGATTCATTAACGCGGGAGGACAATGAATGACCATGAAACCAGAGACCCGTTAGATGCGTGTCTACGAGGCTTCACGCTTCGAAAACAGAGACGATAAGTAGACGAAACACGCGAAACTCCATTGAATGGGAGAATGCACGGAATCTAAGAATGATTCTGTAGCGTCGATTACGACCTTCCTCAACATAAAATATATTTTCTGGGACACGAAACGCTTTGCGAATCACAACATTCGTATGCACGGTATTGAAACGAGAATAGGCGCAAGTTTGGATGCGGATCAATGTCGTTGATAAATGAGGCAAGAGCAATTTACAGGAATTCGCGGATTAATCCTGGACGCTGATGCGATTTCAGAGGCTAAATGATTGAGTGCGTCGGCACCGGAGTCGATACAGTCCCAGAGCTAATTTAAATAGCTTGTCGGATAATTTAAGGAATCGGATGTGTCGAGCGTGGTCGGATTAAGAGGATTGTTACGAAGTTGATGCTACGTGACACAAGAGTGCAGTGACATTTCAAGGATCGATGCAAGAAAATAGGAGAGCAGCAACCTTGCGTATCTTGCCTTTTTAAGATTTAAACCAGTTCATGCGTTCGTTCTGTTTCTTCGTAGATCTTCTTTATTGTTTTACCCTTAGCAGTAACCGCCTTGGATTACTTTCCCTCATTTTACAATCTTCTGATATTCTTCCAAGGTCGAAGAATAAAATGATTTGCTCGAAGTCTAAGTCTTGATTTCATTCTCTAATTAAGCTAATTGCATGCTTAATCTTCAGCAGATGGATGTTCCGTGGTTTAGTAGTAGTAAACGAATATAGTAAACGAATGCAGGATTATTTTGACTCATAATTAAAACGCTATTGTACGTAGGCTTAAGAAAAGCCTGTGAACAATTAAAAATGTATAGGACAATTTGTTCTATACAGGAGCTTTACGAGCAGGTCTACGTTTTGCATAATTTGATTCTGTAGTTATGTAGGTCAAAATGGCCCTGCATTCGCTGCGCGAGGGTTAACGATTCGTTGATCCCACTCCTGACCTCGGTCAAGGAGCTTTTTCGTTCACAACCATTGCAAGCGAAGAAAAGCGTACGTGGTTTCCTTCGAGGTCAGGAGTAATTAATTTTTCATTGTTTCCCCTCTAACGAACCGCATGTTGAAGACATACGATCAGGCTCCCGAAGGTTTTCCAGTGAACGTAAGCATATGCAATCGTGTTATCTTTGTTTATGCGTGCAACCATTACATCATCGCCCAGTCGCTTAATCGCGGACTTGGCCAAGGAGCACTACACCGATTATCGAGCTACTTGGCCAAATTATTGATCGCGATTCATCGGAGACTACTTCGAGAAAAAGTGAAAAATCCACGTAATTGTTAAAGCCACGGTCAACGTAGCAGCCCAAAGGCATAGCAATGCCGTCGCAATTATTCATTTGTTTGTTGTCGAACCGTCCTTATTTGACGTAAACAAAAGCAGGAAACAGGGACAATGCCCTGGAGATCACAGATTCACGAAAGAAACCCAGAAAACGATGCACCCGTTGTTGAGGTCGTTGATCGATCGATTCGCGTCTCTTCCCGTAGTTATGCCGAATACACGGAGGGCAAGAAACGAAAACCGTTGGGAGGGTAAGCGAGGAATTCGTCTCGAAGCCAAGTAGACGAAATGCAACGATTGCCAATAAGCAAGCCCCGTTTCGCTTTATCTCGCTCGCTCACTCACCGAAATCGATGAACTGTTTTATCGAAAGTGGCGAAGGGTTGAATTGCGAATAAAAATCCAGCATCTTGTTGATGTTGCTCAGACACCTTTGCGTTAGCTTCATTTTGCCGTACGTCTTGACACATGAACTTTGCGTAGCAGCCGGCTCCGATTTTCCCTCGATCCCGATAGACAGATCAAGCTGTGTCGAACACCTCTTCTCGTCGTTTCAAAATACACGAAACCGTCAGACTAACGAGTAGATCAACTGCAGGCAGGTTAAATAGCGATGCTTCTCAGCACGTAGTACACCGGTACGAGGATAGGAGACACCGCCAGTCACGATGGCTTTGTAGCAATGTTAGAACCGATTACTGGCGTTTCAAGTTAGGGATCCTCTATATGTGCTCTTCCACATGCGCGGCTGTGTTGCTCCTACCGGACAGCAAAAAGTGGGGTTACCCGCAGCGCCAACTTTAAAACGTTTTACTTTCTTTGCGATATCCCCAACGATTCGCTTGAATTTTATTCTCCTTAAACTTTGATCGTGAATAGATTCAGCTTCTCTCTTGGCACGATTACCATTTGATGCTCTCGCTCAAAGACGGCACAGCTTTGAACGAATTATATCGTACTTGAAAACTGATTTCGAATTAAAAAATTTGATACAAAATTAAGCCCGTCGTGTAGAAGCAATTTCTATAAATAATTTGTACGAATTCTAAAAAATTAAGAATTTGCCAAAGAATGTAGAGTTAAATTTTCATTTTCTATCGATATCTTTATGATTATCGTGGCAGATAGAAGAAATATGGTACAAACATATTATTCCAACAAAGTATTAGTATATACAGTTCCTTTTTGTTGCGTTAAATAAATTTCTACGACTGGTATAACTGATCGACTTAGATTGTCATTTCGTATTCCGGAAGTGGTGAAAGGTAATGTAGCGCCATCAGTGCTCTACACGGAACATACAATAATCGTGGATCAATTAACCTCTGCATAGTCACGTTTTTCGCACGTGTTATTCTTTCTGTAGATTCCGTGGATTGGAATCTCGATTCGTAAGTAATCTAACGCAACGACTTTTTCTAGCATTTTGCAAACGATGCGAACGACTCGGTACTTCCGATTTCCAAACACGCTATATTATTTATAGGTTAGGTAGCCCTTGGATTTTTTTGTGCAGGTCTTCTGCTAGACAGTCAGCGCCACATATTTGTTCGCGAGTTGAAAATTTCTCGATGTTTTGTAAAATTGAAAAAATATACGACGATAAGAAGGCTTCGTTATCCAGTGATTCGAATTCTTCCAATATTTTACTCGAAAAAAATTGACTTTCGTAAAAGTCGGAGCTATATTTGGATATTATACTGACTTCGAAGTAAACGCGTGAACTTCCGGCCAAGACAAGCCCATGTGGACAGCAGCGGTGACTCCGATCATTCCGTGTTAAGGCTGTATCTCGTGTTCCCGTGAAAAAAAGCTTTTCGGCGGATAATCGCGCGTATACCGCGAAAGTCATCGCAGTATGGCTGATTTGGATGATTTCTTCGCGAAAAAGGATCGCAAAAAAGCGAAGGGGAAGAAGTTTACTACCACAGAGGAAATAGCGAAGAAATTGGAGGAGACGGGAAAACGGTCGGGAAAGAAATTGAAAGACAAACCACTGAACCCGGAAGGTGAAGAGACTCAACAGACCGAGGTGAATATCCGTTTCTGTTGCAACTGTTTCGTTCGACCGTATTCGTTCACTTTTCTAATTCTTGTCTACCATACGTTCCTAACGTGAAACTGCGAATACCGTAGCACAGGTCGCTGCCATATTTGTTCGTGCAAACGTCATTCGCACGATTGCTGAATTTAATCTGCTTATTTAGGACCTCCGTATTTAACGTGATTCATCTTATGTTTTCGTCGAAGCATCAGATTGTTTGTTATATAATCGGATCGTAACGCGAGTGCGGTTACTTTTCGTTGAAAACTCACTGAAATAGAGCAGCTGTTCGTGATTATTATCGCGCACGTTATTTCGATGATTTTTCCATTGGGAATCTGCCCTGTTGAAAGACAATTTCTTTTGTCAAAATTCAGTAATGAAACTTCTGTATAACATTTGTTTACTCCTTTCCGATACAAGTACTATGCATAACTCTCCGCTGTACCATGTATTGAAAGTATATGTTATTGTTAGGATGAAGACGAATGGAAGGAATTTGAGGAAGAGAAGAAGGACTATACTGGTTTAAAAATTGGAAATCTGACGATTAATGAATCTGTGGATGTAGAATCAGACGACGAAAAAGGTACTGTGGATAACAGTTCGGACGGAGAATCTGGAGAAGGTGGCCCCAAACATTTAGGGCCATGGAAAAAGCCTGAAGCCCGTCCACAACCAGAAGTAACAGAAGTAGTAGCTCCTCCTCCTCCACCTGTTACTTCGGGAAGTAGTTACAAACCACCACATTTAAGGAATATTCAGCCTGTTGCTGCTAGTCCCAGACAACGGGCAAAGAACATTGCACCAGATATACATAGCGAAGAATATTTCCCAACTTTGAACTCGAAACAGCAGCAAAGCAATGAACCCACTGGACCATGGGGCAGGCGGTATGGATTAACGATATTCACTGATAAAAGCTGACGCGACGTTGTAAAAACATGTTTATCGAATAAACGTTTAATTCGTTTCAGGAAACGAGACGAAGGAACGTTCGAGGAAGTGCGTAATAGAGGGGGAAGCAGATCATACAGCATGCAAGATTCGCAAGCTCAAGCGCCCAAGCTCTCTCTGGGTAACAAGTACGGTGCCCTCTCGCAAGATCAAAGCTGAAATCTTCCTTGATTTGATCAAAACGACAAACAGTTATCATATTACGTCATCGCCTTTCTCCGTTTCGTGGCCCAGCTACGCTATCAAATATGTTTTCTAGGATAGAACACGAAGAACATGTACGATAGTTACGCATCATCGATCACGTACATGCCCTAGCTTCGAAAGGCCCAGGTTGTAAGTCCGTTTCGCTCGATAGGAATGACGTCGTCCTATCACGAAACTGGATGCACGCTCCATAAGAAACAATTGCTGCTTGCGACGGATTTCGTAACGCGGAGATTTATTTTCATACGTGAGACATGCTCAAACACGTTTAGCACCAATTTTGTATTTAAGTTTTTTTTTTATCGAAGATGATGGGAAGCCAGGAGTTCGCGCGACGGAACCGGACGTCGAGATAGGACACTCGTTAGTTTCACGCGAGACGTCGACTCGAAGCGGATTATAGTCGCGCGATCGCTCTATTTTTACACGGTGCTGTTTTTATTTAGCGTGCAAGCTTTGCTATCGATCGCCGTTGAATCGTCATGGAAATATATAGGTTAGGGCACTGGTATACAGAAACCGGACAACCTTAACGAGAAGGATAAAGTACCTAGAGATACTGTTGCACGAGTCGCTCGATAAGCTCGGTGATTGTAGAGTGAACTGTGTTGCTCGCGATCACAAGGTTGATGATCCGCTTGGGCCGTGTTTTTTGTTTGAGAGTAATCGTTTCGCTCAACGGTAACGTACGTCAACGAACACAAAAGTTTAGATGAATTAAGATACGTATATATAAATATAAATATATATATATATATGATAATTAAAAGTTATTGAATTCCGGGGCTGGGCTTTGGAACGGTGCAAACCATCCTATATACACGTCAAGACCAGAGAAATACGAGGAGAAAGAAAATGGTACAGATAAAAACACGCAGAATACATCCGAGAAATGAAAAGGAAGAGTGCATATGAACAAAGTAGAGACGTGACTGTCTCGAATAAAAGAAAATGCAAAAATTGAATGTATGTATACACTTTTGTTGACGCTTGTTTATTTTCGTTGATTTTTGGATTTTTTTTCGCGAATAAGAAACAAAGACGAAAGTAGAGAGTGTTACAACACGTTTTTGGGATTCTCTTGTGCGATTGGGAGCTCGGGGTGCTAGCGCTGGTAGTTTTTTTGAGAGGCAAAAGTTAGCGAAAGAAAGATGGAAAGCGTAGAATCGAAGAAACGAAGCGATTCGATGAAAAGAATATGAGAGCCATACACGCAGAAGCGAAAAGAAGAAAGAAAAATAAACGGAGCCTTGTATAGTGAACGATAAGAAGAAAAAATGTGATTATTTATAATAAATTTCCTAGGACAACTTATACGTACTGCCTGAAGCATTTTACTTTTGTGAACCACCCATGATGTGTCGGTGATAGTTGCTCAAACGAGAGTAATCAGCGACTGATTTTTTTCACAATCGTTTTACCCGAAGAATTAAAGGCACTTTTCACGGGCATTTCCACGTATAGAAGTACGCAATTCTGTGTGCGAGGTATAAAGCCACTCGTTTGATTGGCCGATCATTTCGTTCGTTTCGTTGCTCATTGTTCGTGTACAGGATGGACCAGCAATTATTGATATCGCAATCATTTTCCACTTATAAATCGATAAAAAAAAAATGATAATTGTAATGTTATTGCTGCGAACGCTTGTATACGTAAGTTCGTTTCACGATCAATGTTCAAAGTGTCTTCATTTTTTGCTACCTTAAATTACATTCTTTGTAATTAATTTTTAAGAAAAAGTATATTAATCTATTTAAAAAAAAACTTTATTAACATGACAACAGAAATCATGGTGTGTTCACTTTTTTATACGATAACTTTTTATACGGTTTTTTCTATGTTTTGTACAAGTTTGATAACAATGATTGATAATTACTGTTCCGTCCTGTATAGTAAAATCGACTGTTGTGTATACATATATGTTTATATAAATACGAACACACGGTAAAATGGATCATACAAGTTTTTATATCGTTTCTTTTATTTCATAAACGAACTGATTGACCGATTTGGTAATGGGTAGTTGTCACCAACCTTTGTTCGTTCGATCGATTTCGCACACGACCCTCTCTGTATAGACGGAGAATCGAAAACCGTAGCCGATGCGAGAGGGAAGAAGGGTTGGTGAGCCACGATCATACGTAAACGCTGTTGAATCTGAGCGTGAAAAGGATGAAGTCGCGCGACTGGCGTGTCCCTCGAGGACAGACACTGAATTATAACTCGTCATCTGGATGACGTGGACTTCGTCTGCCTTTTTGTTACAGAATCGTTGAAACGAAATAATTTTATCGCGACTATAACTGTTGAACCGAGAGAAAACGATAGAATGATAGAGGAAGCGAGAGTGCGCGAACGAAAGAGGATAAGGGTGGAGCGTGGCGAACAATGAATTTAAATAAAATGAAAAGAAAGAAAAAGAAATAACAGAATCACACAACCGTTTGTTTTCTAATAGTATCTTGTTCTTTTCTTTCATTGTAAACTTCGTTAAACAGCAATTGCACACGCTGTGCGAAACGCTGCACGATTTTAAAAAATGTACATAGAAATACGAAAATATTATTCAACTACGAGGCGAATTTACTCGATTACATACAGTAGTACTTGTCTTAAAATTGCTATTATTTTTCAAAGGAAATTATTGCCTCATTTAAGAAGGTAGAAAACAGTATTGTTTCGATTGTTATTCGTTTCGATAAAAATTCACAAGATACCAGTTAATCCTCTACAATCCAAAATGATTACCATTCAGTCTGGAACTGAATACAATAAGTTTATCGACGGAACACGTTATTGCTTCGTGACGAAAATGCGTCGGAGTGCAGAGGATTACGTTCTATCGATTCGATTCAACAAATGACTTTATTGTTTACAACGAATAACAATATACTGCCATGATAATTGCCATGATCATCTAAAAAGAGGCAGGCAATAGAAGGGACTTGTAAAAACGCTTGGGTCAACGTAAATCTTCTGGTCTTATCGTACTCTCGTCGCTGGAAAGAAATACATAGTTTTGGGAATCACTATCACTGAACTTCTTTTCTGTGATCGTATGAGGGATCACGAACATACTTTTCGCAATACTTCAGTCCATGGCTTCCCTCGTTAGTATACGAACTGTACAAGGGCCCATCCAACAGGGACGTTTTAAACTGTGGAAGAAAATATATCCAGACCCTTGTCAAGATACCGACCTGAGAATAAATTTGGTAATAAATTAAGCAGAGTAATTTAATAACAGTTTTATGCGCTATGCAGAGAGACTATGCGTCTTAAACGACAAATACCTCTTCGAAGTTATTGGTCGATTTAGCTTTAGACTCGGCAGCCCAAAGAATGTCTTCCTGAAATCGTTCGTACAACGCGGGATGCTCTTCCAATTCGTCCAGTTTTTTTAACATTTTCGTGTCAACATCGTATACTTCTCCAAACACAAGCTGCGCGAAGGAAGATCGATTAATTTAACCTGTTCGATCACTCGGTGATCTTAACTTAAGTTTCCCTTGCTTAAGGGGAAGAGGAGCCCTACCGTTTATTAAATGCCCATAATCTTTATGTGTAGATACTCCTAAGATTTTTATAAGTTAAGAGAAAGATTGCTCCCATCTTTCCCCTTAACCAAGTGAAATCTACTTCGTACTCAAATCTACTTTATAACTCAAATGAATTACACAAGTCACAAAGCTTTCATTATTTTAAATTGGACAAGCAGAAAGTGTTAACTAACAACGATGGATATTCAAATTCCAAACAGGTATGTGACAAAACTGGTTAAAATTAACTAATAATGGAAGTTAATTAATATTGGGATGGCGTCAACACAAATTTCGTGAACATAACGGATCTCAGAAAACGATACGAACCTACGCCAATATATAGCAGACGTTTTACCATCTATTAGAAACTAAAGGAACTTCTCTAATAATAGTTACATTATCGACAATATTATTTAACAAATGCATGCCATTACTCACATGACCGATTCCTGGTTTCTTTAATAGAAACGGTATGTTATATTTAGTAGCAATTACTAATGGATATGGAGTCAAGGTTCTTCCAATTCCCAAAAACTTCGCATATCCATTTTTTGTGTCTTGTATCAGATTGTGATTCGGCTCTCCCCGTTTCAGTGTTCCGTACACGAACACGCGATGAAGAGGATTCTTGAACAGATTTTCGTACATCTTTCAAAGGCTCACTTTAATGCGTCAAATATATTCAACCTTGACATTGGTATTGCAATTTTAAGCCATAACTTTATACGACGAAGTTTCCTAATTATTCCTGCTGTTTATCGATATCGCTATTGATCAAGTTTCTATAAATTATTAATAGATGGAGCTGTTAAGGACGGCACAGATGCAGTTTGGTTATGACAAACAGGAACTCATTTTTTGTTCGTACATTTGACAAACGGGACGTGCTTACGTCAATCAAAGATTCACAACGAAGAACTGACGTTCATTGAACAAATTATCGATACAAAGCTACTACAAAAACTAATGTTTTGTGTTTTCCTGGCAATACGGGTCACTACAGATCACCCATGGCTGCTCCGATAGTCGTTACTAATTTTGTCCACACTGTCGTGGCGCTACTTCTTTAGTAAAGTATATGCTATGAGCTTTATGAACTGCAATATTAATTAATTTGTGTGACTATTGCTAAAAAATTATCGACAGAGAAGGAAAGCTTGTTTAAATAATTAAAAATATACATAGCACAACTGCAAGTTCACCGAATGTCTCTAAAAATAGGAATGTTTTCCCGACATTTTAAAAAGCCCGCCAAAATAAAATCTGGTATATGTGGCGCCGCCTAGCGTGAAGTACCAAAACGAGCTTTTTTGTTTTGCTACCAGGGGGCGCAAAACTTTTATAGAATCGTAGTTCTTCTTCTCGCCGCTAGGTGGCGCCACAATAGAGGAAATTAATTTCCCCGTAAGATCGCAAAATAAAAAAATGATAGGAATTATGTTTCTGATTGATTCAACATTCAATATCATTTCAACATTATTATCTTCAATTCCGCTACATTCTTCAAAGATGTACTACAAGCTACATATAAAACTGAAGTTGCGGCTTTACCTCGTCGGACAAGAACTGCATATCCGTGGGATCTTCAGTGTTGTAGAATGAGTAGATCTCCAGAAACGCGACGTTCGTGAGTACTGCAGCGGCAGCGAAGTGAAACAACATTATTAAAAATGATAACGCGGCAAAGTTAATGGCATGTACTTTACTAATCGAACGGAATCGATATTGTGTTACTTTCTCCTTTCCCACTGATAATAAATGAGTAATTAAAGATTCAAAGAAGTGACCGTACGAGGGTCAAATAGTTGAAAGAAAATTCAAATGGAAAAGAAAGGATGTAATGACGCGCCTTTGATCAGTTTCGCGAAACCTCTTATCGTTCGAACTTTTGACCTCCTATGCGACAGTGAGGCCAGGGTTATACGCACAATGACCCCGTGGACATGCAGCTCTTGTCCGATGAGATAAAGCTACAAATGCGAATGATTTCAAATTCATTAATTCCATTGTACATGTAGCTTGAGACAAACACGTGAAAAACCCGGAAAATTAGAAACAACGATGATAATATAATTCAGCTTTGAATTAATCAGTATATTACCACGGAACTACAATTAATATTAATGTTCGGTAATGTTATTCCTTCTCGATCTTGAAAGGAAAAAAATTTTCTGATCAGTGGCGCCATCTGTCAGCAAAATGACGATCTACAGTTCGATGAAAGTTTTGCGCTCCCTGGTGGCGAAACCAAAAAGCTCATTTTGGAACTTCACGCTAGGCGGCGCCACATATACCAGATTTTATTTTGGCGGGCTTTTTAAAATGTCTTTAAATATTTAGCCTTTATTAGGTTAAGGTTTAATGTTTTGTCGTAAGATTTCGCTTTCCTCTGTCACGAATTCTCGAAAAACATCTCCTGAAAAAGGTTTTTCTTCTCTTCTAGTTTGTAACAGTTTTTCGAACGTCATCCAATCTTTATCGTTCTCGCGTTCAATACCTTCTCCCTTATAATATTAAAAATAGAAAGGGAGTGTTAATATGTGAAGTTTGGGTGTTCAGTGTTTTATTACCTCCAACAAAATATGTAGAAGACCTTTGGTTTTATCGTTTCCTAGCATATAATTCTGATAATACAAGCACCGTATCGTTTCTAGCACGGTTGTTTTCGTTAAGTAATTATCTACATAATGAAAATGATGCTTAACACCTTAAAAAGGTAAAAAATGAATTAAAAATGCTTACAACTCAAGTCCAAGTATTGCAAATTAAAGTTTCCCGTTGTGGATATCGCTCCATTTATTGGGTAACTTTCATTTTGAAAGGGATGGCGATTGCTACTTAAAAGACCGATCTCGTTCAGCTATAAAGATGAATTATTAATAATTGTCGGTCACGGAATACTAAATTTCAACAATTACTCGTGTTAATTCGGAAGTTGGATATAAACCATCCTCTTCTCCGATTTTAGTCATAGACTCTACGTAGGCTAAAAATAGTATTAATGATTATTCGATTCTTATTTATTATAACATTAATTACATTTTTTAGACCGTCTAGGTGGACTGGGTCGCATTCGTAGTTTACTATTTTTCCTTGACACTTCGTCGTTTATCGACTTATCAACCTCCTCGTCATTTTCTTTTTCCATCTATTCATCAGTCGTTATTTATTACAGTTATATTTCACGAAGGAATTACACCTAATTACCAATTGATCGAGTAACGTTAACTCAGAAAACTTTCTACGACGTAGATCCATTACTTCCTCGTGCGTTAAAGTAGTTCTAATTTTATCGATTAAAACTGTTAACGAATTTGTGCATTGTTTTGAATCATAAGTAAAACGATTAGTTCTCGTACATTTGCAGTTCTTGCAGGATCATCGACGCCCCTTCATCGGATATTCTGTTTCCAAGCAAAACCAGACACTTCAAAGATCTATAAAAGCAGGTGGTTAATTGCATTTATTTACTCCAATCGGAATATCTATAATTAACTGTTGTCTCGTTTTGCGGGAACCACTGCAGAAAGCATTCAAGCACTGCATAATTAGCAATAATGATAAGTAATTTACCTGTTTGTGCGAAGCATACTGCCAATATCAGCTGCTCCGTCGTCTGTAATATGATTATTAGCCAGGCTTAAAATAACTAATTTAGGGTTGTTTGGTGCACTCTGGTGTTTTAATTCATTCATTATTTTCTTCGCTCCACGGTCAGATATTTTACAAAGGTTTAGGGACAAATACAATAAACTGAAAAACGAATTCTTGTAAAAATATAGAAGTGCTGTTTTATAGAGGATTTACTTTCCAGCAGGTCTGCACAATAAATGAAAATTTTCCTGCGAATTCGGATTCATGTCCAAGTTCAAATCTTGCAGACACCCAATCGTTGTTAACATTTCTGCGATTAGCACAATGCCGAATGGATTTATTTGACAATCTGGCAATCTATCACAAAGATTACACTAAAAATATGCAACGATTTTAAGAGTGCTGTAATATGAAAAATTTTTGTATAATTCACTCGAGAACGGTGACGGTGTTGAATTTCTGCATGGTGGAATTCAGCGCATCCAAAATGCAAATCGATACTTCGCGACGTAAAAAGACACGATTTAATTAACTAGAATAGTCGGACGATTATCGAGCAAAAGTAATTTAGTTTAATACTCATCTTTGCTTTCGATTTCCTTTACAATATCAAATTTCTTCTTTTCGTGCGTTAAATAAAAAATGGGAGAGCCATCGTCTTCGGTACTTGTATCGTGAAAAAACGTCAATAATTCAAATGTTTTAATTAATTTAGCTCAAGAAGAATTACCTTGGAACTTGTAGTTCCGAAATACTTTTTATCTAAGAAGAATTTCACGTTTGAGGAACTGTTTTAATTAACTATCGACGCGAACTCACCATAACTCTGGGTAAGGGGCGTACATTGTACTCCTCCGAGTATTTTAAAAATTCTGTAGCAAAATTCTCTTGGGCATTTCTTGCAGTACTTGCTGACAATTCAAACGTATAAAATTTAATTCATTTAAAATAAGTTCACCAATACCTGCTGTCGATGGTGCTCTATCTCGAACCGATGAGCCGTATCTGCTTCTTTTATCAGCCATGATATTTTAAAGATACGTATAAGGAAAAAATTATGGTGATTACCGGAGGTTAAGAAAATCATCGAATAATTGAACATCGCACGTCACCAAAAGAGAACTACGTTTCCGTTGAATATCTGTGATGTATCATAACAGTCTGCTCACTTTCGTGAATCGATTTACGAATGTCGAAACAAGGAAACATTACACGACACGAGCAATAAATTCATAAAACCTGGCGCCTATGGGTCCCATAGATGTCCAGGATACCCTCTCATAAACCACCCACCCCTACGGTGGTTGTAATCTGACGCCAAGTGAATGCCAGCGCGACATCCCCCACGGATGAAACAGGGAAAAGCCTTTGGAGAAAAGTATCGACCGATTCTTGGTACCGTCAGGCAATACCGAAGGGTCCTGAACTCATGCTTTAATGGGATGTACGGGGAATTTATGGGATTAAAATCGTAATTGCGAGGCTTTCGTTAATGGGGTGATTTCGAGAATGGCTTATACGCGTGTTTAACGATAACGTACATTACCATTATTAGGGTAACGTGGTGTTGCTCTAGATTCGCTATTTCTTTAATGTAAATACTACATATTTTAATTAAACAGTAAGGATAAAAATTTACCCTTTGCAACTGTTTTATTATTCATCAATACTAGACATCGAGTGCAGAAGATCTGAACTCTCCTTTTTTTTACCCGTTCATTCTTTGAACATTATTTTTATTCCACGGTTCGTTATACGCCTATTCCATATTCTCACGACTTGCCAAATAAAAATGAACATTGTATTCGTTGAAGAAGCAATAAGGAAATCACGCGTCGCGCCATCAAGTCTCGCGTTCAACTCTCCCGTTGCATTATAGCGGCGATCTCGAGCGGCTTCGGCTTCAGTTCAGCTCGGCGCTTTGACCGCGCAGCTCCGCGTCCAGGAAGCTACGCGTTTTCGATCGCGAGTACTCGACAGTAGCTCTTACTCGTGCTCAATCATATCTGATCATCGATTAACTCGATTCGCAAGTGTGAACGCTCCGATCACGTTTCTCGCGGTTTTCGACTACACCGGTGATACGAGGTGGGTGAAAATTTCAGCCTTTTTTAGAGCAATTCAAGTATGCTTCTTTACCGGTAAAAGAATGCAAGGTGTTTCAAAACTCATAATTCTATTTAACAGAACTTTTTTCTTTCATTAACCGCTACCATTAAAAATAATTATTGCACAGCGCTTCGTTGAAAAATAGATTTAGTCGCATCAGGTACTCCTGCGACAGAAACTCAATTTTTTATTTGATGTACAAAATTTAGATACCTTAAATAATACCTGGAAACGTTCTATTCCTATTCGATTTATCGCCGATGCCATTCTCGATCCGTGAAAGGAGCAAAAATAAAAAAGAGGGAAGAAACCGACACGATGCGTCGTCCATTTAAATGAGACCAATTAGCGAACGGAAGCGGATGAACGCCTCGATCGCGCCCCGTAGAAACCATAGAAACTCGAATTTACCAAGTGACGAAACGAAAAGATCATCGGACTAAGCGAACCAAATGCGAAATTAATGCGAAATGCGGTTCGAGAACGAGCCGAGCTTTTGTGTGGCTCGTTTTTTCCCTTTTTTTCCGCGCACGTGAACCAGTCCCAGCCAATTGCATTAATTTACGACTGTTTACATCATGAGACCGGGGTGTGCCATAAAGCCGGACCCACCACCATGAATTATGCATCGCAGGGTGGTTTCGGTCTGCTTTCTTCCTTCTTTTTTTCTTTCGTTCAAGATCACGCGCAAAAAGTGCGCGCACGGGTTTGCGTTGCGTCACGACTCGACGAAATCGTTCGCCAATCGGGGCCTAAGAAAAAAAGGAACCAAAAGTCGGTAAAAGATTCGGTGTTTAGTAAGGTTGAAAGATGTTTTTGTTCACCTTTCGAGGAGTCAAACACTTAGCATATCGTAACAGTTTAGGAGCAGTTTAGAAAGATTAACCACAGTGAAAAATTGTTTGGTAAAAAATTCGAATGTTTAACGATACCGAGTCCAAACGAATATTAAAAGTTTCACACGCACTTCTCTCATCACAACTCGCATTTCTTTATGGATGCCTAGCGAATTAAAACAAATTACGTTTTAACGAAACAGACTGAGCGATTAATCATTGTCCCGTCCAGTGGTCCGTTTTTATTCGCGTGTTTCACCCTCTGAATTCGTACAGACGCAATTCTTTCACACCCTGACACTCTGTTTATCTGGCTTGAAATATTTGCCGGGGAAGAATCGACTCTTGAGGTCTGACGCATTACACCCAGCAAGTAGTTACAACATGTAATCTCGCGATTTTCGGATTTCGAACTTTGTATCACGACGCGTGTCATCGTGATGCAGAAATGGCGTTACCGAACGAGAGCGATCGTATATTCGTTTCTAACACTCTCTCAAAATTCCCTCGATAAGCGGTTCGATGGCATATTCTAGGTCAGTGAAACCAGATAACCAGGTGGAAAGGATTCGCGTAACGGTGTCGAATGTTTTGCCGAAAGCCCGTTTGCAAAATCGAGCAAAAGAATAATCGGCAGAGCGGCAAGTGTTCGATTCGGGGAGGAACAATTTCTTCGGCAAAGACGTTACGTAGAGGCCCACGCGTTCGTTTCCGTTCGCTTTTCGTTTAATAGACACGCGTTACTGCGGTTCGCCGCGTGGCCATAAACCTCGAAACTCAAAGATCTGGTTACGATCTGGTAAACCACCATGGGACTGGCCCATGGGGACGATACTGCAATCGCGAACGCCTATGACAGTTATTACGTGGCGAACGAAACGGTCCGCGAAGGTATTTCTACGATGTAATAACGCCGCGTCCGAGCAGGGACCCGTTCTCACGGACACGGAGGCTGTATAATTCATTGCCAGTGTTAAAACGTTGAATTCGTATGCGAACGAGTCGCAGGATTTTTCCTTTTGTCCTATTGGACGGGACTATCGCGTCGGTAGACACATCGAACCGTGCACATATTTTACGGCTAAGATCTTGTAACGCTCGATTTCGTACGGAGGCCAAGTTTACTCGAATAAGTTCGAGAATACTTAAAATTACATAGAATTCGACACAGGGTCTACGTACGCAGAGATAACAGAGATTAACCGGAATTCTCTACCGAACGTAAATATACAGAAAAATGATAGAGAGGAAGATTTGACTAGCTTCCATTCGGTGTTTAATCCTTTCAGTTAGAAGAACGTGCCCGTAGACACACGTACAGCGACAGAGATAAAGAAAAGCCATTGAATCTTACTGTTCGTCCATTAGAGCGATGAAGAGGTTGCGAAAGTTTCTGAAAGGGACTCGTTACCGAATCCCATAGCCGCTGTCACGATATGAATCGTGGGTCAAATATGGTAGAAGGCATAAAGTATGCTCGACGTACGGCTGCTGGCCGTGCTCTAACCATTAAAGTTTCCGAATAAGGCGGCTTTTACGCACGCACGTGAACGTTAGCGAGCAGACGGAATCGAGGCTCCTTCTCGCGTGGGAAGCGATAGTATTTCGATATCACCCTCGCAGCGTGGACACGCGTGTCTCGAGGCGTGCGTGAGCGCACACCCGACTTCTGTCTGTGTACATAGAGACCTGTCATCGTTTGCAGTCGATTTTCATCGCGAGTGTCAGACCACTCGAAATTCTTCCGTACAGAATCGAAAACGCGGCTCGACCGCGTTATTGGTCACGCTCTTCCCTTTTTCAAAGGTGAGGGAGCGTCTTCGACTCCTTTTTTTACGGGTACGTACCGGACGAAAGAATGCGGGCGACTCGTGTTCGGAGAGGAGTCTGCTCGAACAAAGGGTGTTCCCCGATTTCTGTCGGCAGATAGCTGTCGCCTTGTGTCGTTTACCGAGTCACTGTAAACTGGGTCAAACACGCAAATGGATTTCTACGATAACGCCTAATTAATGGTGAAGACGATACGTCAATTAGAACGCTAATTGAGTGACCCGATAAATCACCCGTCCCGTTACCGATACTGATGCTGATCCTCTAGAACCGAGCCATTGTCCTTCCTCTCTCGACTCGTTCGCGAATACAGAAGCTTTTCGTGCGAGCTTTTTAACGGTTGACTCACGAACGCGTTTTGAGATTCATCGTGAATCGTTGCCGAGCAGGCAACAATTCGATGTAACGCATTTTAATTGTGATTCGACGGACACCGCGTTAAATAATGCCCGGCGCGGCATGGATCTCTGTGGAATTCGTCGAATGATCGTCTGCTTGTTGTCGTTTTCGATAAAGTTATTTTCGTGGAATTTTATTTCAAGATTTTTCCAACGATTTTCAGTACGTCCGTAGTTCCATTTTTTCAAAGTAAGTTCGGTAAGATTACGCAAAGTGCGATAACATGACTCATTCTGTGGTCTAATATTGGCACGATCGCGGTAGGAGATTGTAATCGTTTGTTTGAACGAATTTCTATTTAAAATCTCGAATTATGAAAATTTTGTTGGTAAAGTTGGACGACGAAGAATTCGATCGTGATGGAAACGTCAGGAAGTCCGCGTTTAAACGTTGAACGCGTTTAATTGCAGCGAGTAACCAACAGTGGAAGTCTGCGAGTGGGCAACACGCGCTTCCTGAAGATCCAGATAAACCGTCTGCTCCAAGTGCTATGAACTCCACTCGATAAATTGCAACGCGTCCTATTTAAATATCCTGAATTGCAGACAATGCTTCTTCGAGAATGTCCAAACGAAAAAATCAGGAATAAATCGTTTTAAAGATGCAAAGAAAAGAAGAGAAAGAATTTTTCGCGGAGAAATTATCTTCTCCGGTTACGTTCAGCTTCTGACTCCTCGGAAACGCATTAACGAGCGATTACGAATCCATTCCAGATCGGCTAGATTGCCAAAGGGGGCTCGTTTTCTCGGTATACGTGGCCGAGAACGCGGTTCGCATCGCTACAGCCGGTTGGAAGATTAGAATGCACCGTGCATTCGCTTCCCGAACGACTTGCACGAACAGAGACACGAACACGAACACGGAGAGTCCTCACCGAGGGCGAGGATCGCGAGAAACACTCTCTGGATCTCTCACTTAATACCTGCCACACGAATTTCAAATGAAATCTTTAAACGGATGCAGCGAGCTGCAAGGAATTGAATCGCGAAAGCCCCGAGGAAAGTTGTCTCGATAAATGAGCGAGTTAGGAATCTTTGTTGTTAAGGACGTACGTTCTTTAGAAACCTGCGGTTAACGTTTCAGGAAAGATATACGGCCTGATCGAAAATTATAAAACCACGAATAATCTGTTTTCTACTGAACGTCCTAGATATCTGTTAGATATTAATATTAATAACGTTAATTGGGTGCGGTGCAGATCTATAACGTCTGTAGCGTATATCGCATACTATGAATATAATTATTTCGAATACGGTCGTTCTCCGATTCGAAGTTTCACTTGCCAGCTTACGAAATTAACGTAATATTAACGTTAATACCACGTAAGCACCGATCACGGTAAGAAAGGTGGTCGTTACGGCGTGCAACGCGTTAATGGAAAAGTAACGAGTCGGTCGGGCGAATCGAACGTCATGAAATTCGTCGTGCAATTCATTTGTCATTTTCCGCGGCATTAAGATTCCGGAACACAACCGCGCGTATACGCGTGTGTGCTCGTGGCCCGTAGTCCCCATTTGTACCAACACGTATCCAGAAAGCAATTTATATTTATGATGTATCGAGGCTCGATGACACAGCGACTGGCTATGCTGGTCTCTCGAACCAGCTAGCAGGAACAAATGGAACGAGAAAAGAGGGAAAGAGACAAGTTGGAAACGTACGAGCAACGGAACGATGGGAACAATCGAAGGAAAAGCGTTGACCGCGAGAAAAGTACAAGTGTCCAGAACTTGCTTTTTCGATTTCGGTATAAACCATGTTTCACAAAGTGACAGAAAAGTGAAGAGTTGCCGATGCACCTATCACGCTTGTCTATTGACTCTCCATTGTTATTTTCAGAGAAATTACGATGCAAGTTGACTCGTAGGGCAGGGAGTTCGTTCAGGTTGAAAAATGACTGCATCAAACGGGTCGATCGAAGTCACGAGTACGTGACATCAACTGCAACACTGTTAACAATTAACTTCCCACAAACTTCCCGTTGCTTCCAACGCAACGATTATGTCCAGAAAAAAATGGGGGGCGAATAAAAAAGTTCCAGGAGAATTCCAAGTACTGGTCAACGTCCACCAGAGAGGAGACCGAGAGAGACGCGTAGTCGCAACGCGTGATCGGCGATTATCTTAATTGCCGGGCCTAGGTAGATACGCTGGAAATCACCGTTAAGCTGGTCGTCTTGCTCGTGGTACCTTAATTATCTCGACGATCGTTCTAGCGGAGAGGCGCCTAAGCATTGAACTGTTATCACGAACAGTCGTAAATAGGATTCCACGTCGCGTTGGTCGGAAGTAATTGCGTTCGAACGCTTCCTGCTGATCCTCTGTGATGCGCGCGTCGATCATTAATCTTCCAACTCTTTATTCGGTTCAGAGCATAATTACGCGATACTCTTGCACCGATTGCTTCTTCGTTTTTATCTTGAATTTCGTTTCATCGCTACATGTGATAGCTGAATTTTCCTTATAAGAGATGTGCTTCCATCCTCTGAACATTTCACCGAGTAGAGTTTAATATACAAGTCCATCAAATTAATCGCTATATGTTCCAGTACAAAAATATGATGGCTGCGTACAAAGAAACGCATAAAAATTTATCGAACCCTTCACACGTTTTTCACGAGAGATACATCTAACGTGGAATGCCGCAGCCCTTTCGAAAGAGATTCATGGGAATAGGCGTGGCTGTTCCTGGAACGCAAATCGTTCCACGAAACTGTAAATCTGTCCGTGAACAAAAGCGAATTTCGCCCGTTAATCCGACAGCGATGAGACTTCGAACCAACCCTGTACGATTTAACTATGCTCTCCCGACAGTCTCTGCCGAAACGAATTTTTCAAGCTTTCGACTCCTTTCGATAAAAAAATTCAACGACAACCAGCGAAGGAGATAGACGGTTAAATTATACGACAGAAAATCGCAGGATTCTTTGGAGGACCGATCGAGATCGTTTCGCGGAATCGTTTTTCCCGAAAAATTTAATCGATCATGATCGGTTAAGAGGGGACGTTCGATTGGCTGAGATGGCGATAAATTACCGTCGGATAAAATCGATGTTGCGTACGCCGCGAAGAGGCAGGTAAAAGAAAAGAGAGAAGAAGAAGAAGAGGTGAACCTGAGAGAATCTTTGGAGCGAAAGGGGACGAAAACAAGAGGTTGGAGAAGTAAGGGAGCACCTGTCCAACAGCTGCCTCGCAGATGGTCTGCATCTTTGTTGCTAGATTATGCAACGAGGTGGGTGTCTCGTGTTTCTGAAATCGAACTCGCCTTTTTTAAACTTCAGTTACCGCGTATCGCGCGAATTTCTACAGGTTGCGGAGCATTCCTTCCTGTCAGGAAGTCTTGTAAAAATACCGTGAGTCACTCGACACGTGCCAGACAATAGTCAAGATTTCCTTTGTTAGTTACCAGAAAATCAATAGAGATTCATAATACAACGCGGAAGAGTTTCGGTTTACTCCTCGCGAATAAAGATGCCCCGTAAATCGGTGACCATTGACCGGAAACGTGTGATTTGAATTTACGAGCGTCAAGTTCGCACTGGCCGTCGACTTACGCCCTTCCGATAACGAGCTGCTGGACAGAGGACCCATTGCTGGATGACTAATGGCCAGAGTCTGCCGTTCAGAAACTATAAGGAGGGAGAAAGAGGAAACGTATCGTATTCCGCGATGCCCGCCTCGAGGAAGAAGTTCACGAGCAGCGCGGAAATTTCAATTTCTTCTTCAGCGATGCCTCCGTGCTTTTTCGTACCTCCGACGACTGCGATCGACGATGGAATCTCGCGTCGAATTTCCATGGGAAATTCTTTGGAATTTTAATTCGATAAGTCGAGTTAATCGACAGGTCGGCCGTTCGATCCGTTGAATTTCGAGGCCTCGTTTATAACCTGTTGTCTCTCTCTCCCCGCGTCGAATCAAACTTCGAAAATTAATTCAGTAAGGGGACTGGCGGCGAGACAATGGGCCCCTACTACGCTCCGTTAAGGCGTGGCAAGCCACAACAATGAACGCAACGATTAAAATGAAAAAAGAAAAAAATAGGGACTCTGTTCGACGAACACCAGTCAGCCTACACGCGAGCTTTGATGCTTGTTATCTCGTTGGTCCTCTTTCGAACGGTCCAATCTAACTTGATCGCTATTTATTAATGCATATTATACACGTGAATTTCAAGAAATCTTTTCTTCAAAATAACTTTTTATCTCTTTTCCATCGAGTCTTATATAAACGTTGCGAAAGGGTCAACGACTTATTAACCAAACTACGTGTCCCGCTTCTCGAGCCAGATGTTCGATGTTGAAACTATGTATCGTCTATTGAGGCCACATTTTCTGAATCGCGGTGAATCAACGTTTCCGGTGCTGGACATTCATTAAATCCAATGCGAACTCGAAGACAGTATAAACACAAACAGCCATTAAATGACGCTCCTAAGTAAACTCGGTCTTGAGTAGATCTCGAGGAGGTCGGGTGCAAGAAACGATAAAAATAAGACCGGCAGATGTACAGCGTGAAACGAATCTAATTAAACAAGACTCCCCATGTTACTCGAGGGTGACGTTGCTATCGTACAACATCTCTTTCCATTTCGACATTCTTATCCGTCAAGATATAGAATAGAATACTTATTGAATTCTTTCTTCAAATCTCCACAACTATTTTCAAGAGTTGATTCTTTTTACATTCGGCGAGCATCAACGTGATTTACCGATTCGCCACGCAGCGGTAACATCAAAGGACGAAGCGGATTTGCGGGTTTAAGACGCGATTAAAAAATCGTGAAGACCAGACGTATTTCACAAAGGAAGGTTATCTCGTATCGCATCATCAGGAGACCCTGAACTTGGATCGACATAAATTTAGAAGTAGAAGATGGATGAGCTTCGAAGGAGGAGCAACTTTCTGGTCGATCTTTCATGCCATGTTTCGTAACGTATGGATACACAGAGAGCTGTAATTAAAATAATTCCACCTACTTTTCTGACCCGACTGATCAGGAAAATGTTAAGTCGTTGCATATTAACCGATATTATGTTCTTTTCGACAGAAAGAAAAATCTCGCGAGTCAAAGAGGAAGCGTGGGCAGAGTCGTCGACGCGGAATAAACTGCCGTCAAAGCGAACCCAAAGAAGAATTCGAACCGCGTCCGATGCACATGCAACGATCTTGCCTCGAAGAAATTCAGCCCCTTCTTCTCGACCGATCGACTCGCCGCGATTTAAATCGACACGAAAATATACACGATGTTGTTTTACGAGAGGCCAGAAGAAGGGGCTGCTTTGTTGGCGGGCTCGCGTTTACGATCCCCACGAAATCGGAATAAAAAATCGAAACCGGTAACGCGACCGACCTTACGACTTTACTTTTAATGCCGGCCTGTCCGTACGCAACGTTTCTCCGAAATATATGTGAATGGCATTTATTCTCGCTCAGTCGCCCGAAACACTGGACGAATCATTGACCCCTCGAGTCCTCATAAGCGCGATAAATATTTCTCTATTATACAGGAGATATTTTTACAGTGTTCCACGGAGAAACGAAGCGAAAAAGCATGTCGATTATAAATACCGTTCTCGTATGTTTCAGGGTGAAGTTTGGGCTCGAAGGATGGCATAGACCCACACTCGATCGGCAGCATGTGCTATGTGATAGTCACTGGTCGTAGTTTGCTGTGGACGCTACTGTCCCTGGTAGCGTTAATGGCAGTTTTATCGGGCCTCATCACTCCGAAATGGCTCGTTGGTCCGCAGACGATTAAAGATACAAGTAACTATTTTCTCTTACTTAATTCTTACCGACAACATCGCATTCTAAAAGACGGATGACGCGTCAACGTAAACTCCGACGTTATCGCGTTGGTTTTAGGGATTTGATTTAATAGCGTAATCGCGCGAGAGAAAATAGAGAAATCGTTTTGTGTTTAAATGTCAGAAAACGGGTCCGAACTGTACGTGCCAACGGTTGGGATAGTTAACCGCTGCATCAGGCTGCATGGGAAGACGCATTGCGCGAATTTCAACGTCGATGGCTTCGCCACAGATTCCAGCGTGTTTCCAGGCTGCTGGAAAGCCTCTTATTTCTTCCTGACCCTTGGTCTGGCGATTATGGCGATGACCGTGCTGGCAGCTCTGGTTGGTTGCTGTATACAGAGTATCGGCAGAAAAAGTATCTTCAATTTGGCTGGTGTGGCTCAAGTGATTGCTGGTAATAATTGTCAATCATACACCACAGTAAAATAATCGTTGCGTTGATCAATGATCTACAACATGCTGTTTTCTGCTTCAACAGGAATATCGTACCTTCTGGGAATGATTTTGTATCCCGCTGGTTGGGGAGCAGAAAGGGTTCAGAGGATTTGTGGTCCAGAAGCAGATGCTTTCTACCTCGCCGATTGCTCTCTTGGTAAAAAAAGAGTTTTCAATTACGATCTTCTTCTTTCGAGAAATATGTTCATTTGTAAAAACTTTTGTCTGAAGGGTGGGCCTTCTACAGTGCCGTGATAGGGGTTGCACTGACATTCGTCTGCGCGGTGATCAGCGGTCAAGCGGAGAAGTCTACGGCGAGTGATAAAGTTCAGGATAAGATGAACGAGGGAAAGACTTTGATCTGTCTGGCGTGAAACGAGAAATTCCAGAGGAAAACGTATTTCATTCGACAGCTTCGGAACGCCCTCCTTCGTTTACCAAGGAGCGAAAGACGAAGTAAATCGGGGCGTTTGAGGAGCATATATTTCCTTCTTCTTCTTGGACTCGCCGATTTCGACGAGAGGAACGGAGGAAATTTGTCATGGGACCAAGATGAACCCGTGTGCCCTATCGATTATGTACTTATTACGGAATATTCTGTGCCAATCGTTGTTTTCACAGTCCTTGTTAATTAATTTTGCCGCTGGAACGAAAGATAACTGTACACTTCGATACGCATAAAACAGATATGTATAGGATTTAAAGGACAATGAGTACAGTACTGTATAAGAAATAAAATAAGGATATTGTTAAACGACCATCTCTTGCTCGACCCTCCTTTACTCCTGTCGGTTCGCTATTGAGCACTACATCCCATGGTTTTCTTCATTTTTTATTAATTCACTGAGAACAAGTGTATGGACAGCTTACTAATGTCTAATAAATAAATAATCGTAACTGTGTAATGTGTTTGTTCGAAGGATAAGTAAAAAATTTGCGCTTCCTGCCGTCCCTGGGCAGCTGTGATCTCCTCTCCTATACAACGTAAAAAACTTATCGTTCGCTTCTTAAAATAACAACAAAACAGTGCGATAAATGTTTCGAAGGATTGAAACACGATCGTGGTTCGCGCCGATCACCCTCGTAATACGCTGCTTTGGATCGAATTCTCGAAAAAGGTGTCGTTAAGGCGGTACGGATGCTAAGGGGACACTGTTCTGAATATAAATTACTACGTGTGGGATTAAGGCGAGCACCTGGACGCGAAATATACAGGTGAGAAAGTACATTAACTTAGCACGAAGAAAGGACAAAGTACGTCAAATTAAATTACGATACGTGGACTGTGTGTTTGCTGGCCAACATACACGTACATTACATGTCTCACGATCTCTGCAAAATTACACGATTACAGCCATACATTGTTCTTTCACCCTTATGTACAGTCACACGTTTTCTTCGTTAAAATAATTATAAAAAAAGACATTAATTACTACTCGCGCACGTTAACTCGCTACGAATCTAAATCGATCGAACCTATTTAGGCAGAAACTGATAAATGAGAACAAAACTGATCAAATTTCTCGTTTCATCTGTATACCTATCATCCGAGCAGCCAAATTATTTAATTGAATTGATTATCGAAAGCTCGTAACGTGTCTTCATTTTATTCTCATTTATCGACATTTGTTTTTCGATTAGTCCGCCTAGGGCTACACCGGAATCATGGACCAACTTTTTATCGATGATTCATCCATACGCGATGAACTGCATATTAATCGGTAATATTTTTAAGAATCTAATTATTTGCTGATTTTGATCGAGCGACAAATCATTCGTTAACGAACGTGGCAAAAATGAATCGGTTTCCAGAATGGAAGTAGTATCACAGTACCAGTAGAAACGTTCGTCGATGATTCGAGTGTGACCCATGCGACAAAGAGTGACACGACGCGATAATCAAGCGTCCAAGCGTCGTGGTTGTCAGTCGATTTATGTATGTACACACGTATAAATAATCAAGGCACCAAGGGAATCAACAGTCAATAAATAACGCGGCCAGATGCGCGTGCTTCAGCGTACTCGCGAGCGAAACGACGCTTCGTGAATCGTCTCTTATTCTTTTTTCTTTTTATTTGCTTCGATCTGAACGGGCACGTAATAAAAAGAATCCATCGCCAGCATACGTATCGTGAAAAAACGCGATATTCGGCGCACTCGAGAGTTACTTAATTAGGTAGCGCGTGTTATTTGGTTGGACGAGCTCTAATTATACCTGCCTATCTATCGAATACACCTTAAACTTAAGTGAGAATTACGAAAAGATATCGGGGTGCCTTCGAGACCGTCTTCTTTCTACCGGAATGTCAGTATCGACAAACGTGTCTCGCGATAACCGATCCGCGGTCACGATATTCCTCGCGCGATCGTGTGAGCTGTGTTAATACGATAAAAATAATACGTTCGGGATATTAAAAGATTAATAATAATTAGGCGTTATCAGAAACAATACGAGTAATAAAAGTAATAGGAATCATTCTGGTTTGACCCGCGACTCACGATCCTTTTCCGATCTCGATTCTTCGTCGACGTCTCTTCAGTGGAACTGTTAGGCGAGCACGATCGATCGTGTGTAATTTCATTAAAAATTATATACATACGTGTCTAAAATCAGCTACGCAAAACAATTGTTGCCTGATTCGAGCAAAAAGCGAAACAAAAATCTGCGCGTTCTCTTTGGATCCAGGCGGTTCATTCTCTTTTTTAAGTTTCTAACGCGAGACTAATGTTCTTGAACATAGATTCCTCTATCGTCCTGTTGATTTAATACTCTCCCGCAATTAATTCTCTATACAATACGTTATCGTATAAATATAAGTTACTCGTTAAAATACGATATAGAAATACGATTTGATAGCTTCAGACGAGTAACTTCTGATTGAAAAGAAAAAACCAAGTTTCTATAGACAAAAGGCAGTCTCTAAGCCACTTTTTTACCACGAAAACATAGCCGAACTATTCCAACTATCTCGCCCTCCGATAAATTTACCCTTTTGTCAAATATTCGAATTGAAACATCGAAACTCGTCGTAACTTGTAAAATGAAAGGCGAAACGCGAGTTTGAGAATGCCCAAACTAAATTGAAATCATTAAATATCGTAGAAATCGAACGACACCGTAAATCGATATAAAACGTAACAAGATTAGCACGAAACATCACAGCGTGTATAAATCGAAGGGAAACGAAGAGTGCGTAGAAACAGGAGAACGTATGTCTTAATAAAATTGTAAATTGCTAAAAAAAACTTTGCTCCGATCATGTTATTGCTTCGTTGTAGGCAAAATTGTTCGCTCTATCAACGTTATTAAAGCGACTTTGATCACGGTCGAAGCATAATTTGCGATTGTTTATAATCAACTTCCTACGACACGATCTGACGCGTAATCTTCGCGCGACGAGACGCGAAAAACCGTGGGCGAAATCGCGTCCGTTCTGTTTCACCAACACGAGTATTTTATTTTATAATCGTCGTAAAATTACGATACGGCAATACGATGAGCGTCTCCGATCGAACTCGACCGGTTCTTAAAAGCTTTCGGTTAATTATGCACCAGACTGCTCGAAACTTGAGCCGTTTGAGAAAAAGAAATGCGTTAACGATATCGTGCTTTGATTTGGCTCGAGGCATTTGATTCCCTGCCAGTCGTTCGTATTCTTTTTTTTATCGTTACGTGTCTGGGGCGAAGATCTTTACGGTATTCTCGGAATTTTGCGCCTTCGAGCGCATCGCTCGCCTTCTTTCCTCGATTAGTTGCCTTCGAGCCTGTTCTCGCGCTTCTCTAGCCTTTTTATTTGCCTCGCTGTTAGCCGTGGATTTTACTTTGTGAACGGGCGTGACACGACGTTTTGTCGCGCTACCGTTTTGCGGAGCGGCGGCTAATGTCTTCTTCTCTGGCACGGTCTGAAAAAGAATCGAGACGAATCATTAGAAAGTTAACAGGTTCGATAACAGCGAGCGATTGGAAAGTAGTCTGCTATAAATTGTAACGGTGTGCAGGAGGATCTAAGAAAGGCGCTTCTTGAAAATGAAGCGACAGTCGTCGAATGGCAAAATAGTTGGAAAAGGAAACGTACTTGCGTAGAAACGATCCGCTTCAAGCATTTTTCTCTTCTATCTCACTGTGCGCTTCAGCAAGAAGAAAAGCGGACAACGTAGACAGAGTAAAGGTACATGCACCGAGAGAACACGTTTATTCCACAAATGCGAGAAGAATACATTCTGTCAGTCTTCGAGAGTCTTAATACGAATTGAACAAAACCTGGGGACTTAGATACCACCGATTTCCCGAATCGATTTTCAGGAATAAGAGAACGAGACTCAGAATACCGTACGCATACAGATACAACGATAATCGACAAAGATTACGATTCGATCTTAAAAACGTACGAGCGTGCTTCATTTTAGCAGACGAACGTTTGCTGTCCGGTAGAACTTTCATATTGTTTGGGAACAATTTCATAAACTTGAAATCTTCCAAGTAACGAACCACGTTCTTTCCCCTCTTCAACGGCAAATACGTATCGAAATTGACCGATTTGACGGCTTTATCGTTTTTACGATCGTGCAGCCGTCGAACGGTGAAGTCTGAGCGAACGTGTTGTGAAATATCCAGCACAAGATTCGCGTTCACCTTTGAAGAATCAATTTTCTCCGCGATTAAACCGTAGCTGAGCTTCTTGATGCTCACGCAATTGTTCACCTTTGAATCTTTATCTCCAGGCATTCCAGACTTAACGATCTCGGCACTCAAAGAAGACATCAGAGAGGAAAGAAAATTATCGATCTGCTTATCCTTCTTCGACCAATTCGGGATATTAGTCGTTATATTATTTATAACCACGGTATGCTCGTTACTTGCCCCGTGGCAATCGGGTGTCATCGAGCATTGAACAGAAAAATCACGATTCTCGTTCTTGAAATCTGCTATGTCGCTCATGGTTGTCGTTTCGTCGCAAAAACTCAAAGATTGTATATCACGAACGTTGTTTTGTCCCTCTGGAAAATTGTCCAAATAAACGGACGTTCCGCGAGAAACGAGTTTCTTGGATGACTCTTCGTCGTGGGTCTTGAGAACGTGCTTCCTCTTTTTGTCGTAGATCTTCATTCGCGTCAATTTTTCTGATCCGTTTGCTATGGATGAATGAGGCTGACTCTCGGCGTTGTATACTTGTCTCAATTGACGGAGAGTTTCCGAAGATATCGGAATGAAAGGTTGCGAGTCGCTCAATCGCCAAATAACGTTATCCGAGGTCCCTGACGAAACGCTTGCATTCTCTTCGACGATCTTTGGTCGTTCTTTTATCCGACTCATCTTCTTCAAGCTCCACGTTCCACGGAATGTGCAGTTCTCTTCGGACAAGTCTGTTTTTTTGTGCTTGTCATTGATGGAATCGATGTTCGACCATGTCTCGGTACAAACGGAAAGACTGTTTATTTTAGAAACGCCTTTGTTCAAATTCTCTTTTGTTTGGGGAGTTTGAAGTTTGATCAGTGACTTCTCGTTGCTCGATCGATGCAGTTTCTTCTTCGATTCTCCTCTCAATGTATTCTTCGATTTCGAGAACAATTTTTCCGGTGTTTTTGTATCGTACGAAGACGTGGCACTGTATCCAAGATTTCTAGTGCTCCCTTTACGCAATTGGGAGAGAAACTTGTCATTCTTTCGGGTGACAGAAACTTTCTCTTCTCTCCTTTTATCGCGGGATTTTTGTTGCTCGTTAACCGCTGATTTAACCGAATCGATTCGTCGAGGTTTCTTGTCCGGAGTTCTGGATCTTATTCTTCGACTTCTTTGAGACGCCGTTTCGCGATTTAAAATTCTTGCAACTGGGCTACAAGATTTAGCTTTTGTTCGGGCATTTTCTTTCCTTCTTTTAACAGACAAGTCTCTTTTATCCCATGAACGTTTGTCTTTCATTTTCGAACTTTCAATATTTCCCATCAGTCGTTCAGAAACTTCTTGCGCTTTATTATTCAATACATTCGTGTCATCTCCCGACTGCATCCGATTAGTTTCCTTCCTGTATATCACTTCCAATTTTGAGATCTTCCCTTTCAGGTTACGTCCAGAAATATTGTTTTCGAAAACACGTCTATGGGGGAGAAAATTGTTCGAATCGTATCTCGAGTTCCCATAACGAAACGGATGTGCATCGGCATGTAAAGTATTTACGTAATTCACGATGTACGAAGTGCAAGGATTAATAGGGAAATCAAACTCCAGATCGTCGAATAAGAACGGATTACTTTCTTTACATTGTACGTCGTTCTCACATTTCTCCGTTGACCGTTCATAGTTTTCCTCGAAATTCGGTGAACTAGTTAACACTTGAAACGCGTCGTCGCACAAACGGGACTCGAGCAATAAATGTTCGATCGAACGCAACGAATGATCCTTTCCGCAAATTGATTCCTCTGATCCGTAAAACGTGGATGTTTCGAAACGTACGCGTTTATCGCTAACAGAGTGAGAGGAGGATCTACAGGAAGGTTTAACTGGTTTTATATCATCGGGATTTTGCTTCGGGGAAAACTTTCTTTTCGAAGGCTTCGAGGAACACAGAGTTGTCCGAGGGTGAATGGAAACTGAACATACCTCTTGCCACTGGGAATTTCGTAACTTTTCAATTTGATCGAACAGCTCGTTTACTTGGACCACCTGCAGCATTACCATGTCCCAAAAACCGGCCAGATCTTCATCCGTCGTTGGAAATTCTTCGCCAGGAACCTGATTCTGAAACAAACGTTCCATTCGATCGTTAGAATCGACAACTTAGAAAGGCTTACGAAATATCGAATTCTGCACGATATTCGAAGCGATTACCAGACCATCGCTACTCGTAATCTAATTAACGGAACATTGTCCGGAAGACTTACAATATTTTTCTGACACAATCCCTCGAACTGTTGCATCTTCTGGGAAGCCAGTAACCTGGCTTTGCCCGCAGCCGAGCGCAGTTTTCCGGCTGCCTCTTCCGGAAGTGCAACGGTATCGCCACTGGCCAACTCCGCTTCCGCTGACGCAGCCAACGACAGAAGCCTGTCTGTCTCCTGTTTCAACAGCTAGAACATTCGGACGTACGAATTATTCTCTATCGCGTAATTTTTCACGCTCTCGTTCTATCGACACGTACCTTCATAAAGTAATGTCCATTTTTCTCCTCGACCGTTTTCTCCGCCTCCTGAACCTGTTTCGCCACGTTCGTCGAGCTAGCGCTCGGTTCCAAGACAGGTAAGACTACTTTTGGTGCAGCCGGCTGCTGGTCGGGGATGCTGGTCACGCTAGAATTAAGCTTCTGTGCTCCGCTCTCCGCGATATTTCCGTCTAAGTTCGAAGCCGCTGGTATTTTTGGTTTCTGCTCAATCTTCCGCGACACCGGTGTTACCCTGTGAATCAAAGCAGACCGTGATCGTACCACGATTCTTACGTCGACACTGTTATGCCATCGTGGTTAGTGCGCACCTTTGAAGAGGTTTTAGAATTTGTTCGGAGCCGTCGGTGGGTCTTCTGGGGCTGACCACGGGAAGCTGAGCACGAAATTCGGGCCTCAAGTGTCTCAACACCGGTAGATTCTTAAGGGACTCTTCCGTGTTCGCATTGTCCGTCGACGCATCGTTGTTATTGGCGGATTTGTTGAAACTACTCTCGCTGGTGTTCAGTCTACTGGTGCTACGCTTATAAAAGAAACCCTGGGCAAGTGCTCCAGGACCGTAGAGCCGTTCCACTCGTTGCTGAATGAACGATTTCTCGCTACTCGAACTGACGTTCAATACCTGATTCTCTACATCCGCCGTCGAGCCGTTTAATATGCTCGTATCGCTGAACGAGGTGTTCGATACTGTACACAATTAACAGAGAAACGATGTTCATCCACGGAGGTAGTGCATTATATGGATCAAGGAATTTAATTCGTTAATCGGTCGCGTGTTGAACTATCGATCAACTTTTAGTAGATTAACGATCAAGACGATGTTCCTAGAATACTTACGATTAGCAGTAGCTTGTTTCGGCGACGAAGCCGAGAAACGCGAGAAGGATTTATTTTGCTGACTACAGGACATGATCTGCGATATCCCAGGGGTACGTTTAGTCGGGGTGTTGGATCGAATCGGGCTGACTTCGGCGAACGTCGTGTGCATCACGCCCTTGTCGACTTCGGAGTAACCTTGACATATGCTGATCGAACTTCTCGACTCCCTGTACGTCTCCATTTTGCACTCCTCCTTCAACCCGTTCGAGAAACCGTTTTGCCTGTCCATCGCTAAAGGCGAGATCGATTGACTCTTAGGAGGATAAGGATGCGCTGGCACGTTCAGGTGCTCGTTTGATCTGCAAATCGATAATTCTTTTTTAATCCGTAAGATGTTGCGGAACCTGAACCGCTTAACGCGTTCCAGACTTGGATTTTAAAGCGCGCGATACATCGAATAGATAACGCGAAGTCTCGAACGATTGGAAAAAATGTTGAACAGGAAATTTCTACCTAAAACCTGCCGGACTGGTGTCTCTGGTGATCAGCCTGGTCCCGGGGCTACTATCCCTCGATCGAAACCCTTCCCTCAACTTGCTGTCGTATCTGTTGATCCCCGAATAGCCGCTGATGCTACAAGCCAGGCCCAAGTAACTCGGTTTCTTCACTGTCAGCTGTTCTGGTTCTGGGCTACTTCGATGACCATTGCTAACGTTCAACTTGTCATCCGGGGTCAGATGGGACTTTTGCAGCGTCTCGCTGCTGCCGTTCGTTAAATTCTCTGGCGTGGACGCAGAGTCACCGTTGCAAGATAAGTTCAAACTGTGCAACGTCTTCTTCGAGATGTTATCTACAGTGTTCTCTGCAAAGTAGAAGCTTCTATTGAAAGCTCGCGAGTTTCGCTCGCCCTACATTCCTCGTATTCCAACAGAGCCTATTTCCCGCGATCCTAAATTTATGCTCGAGGGAATAATAGTCGATACTATGATATGTAACTGTTGAAAGCACGCAATGTTAATTGCAACCTTAACGATCGGCGCACTCGCGGCTACACCGAAGCACGAATCCCATGAGCAAGGTCGAGCAGAAAGCTTCCCGGAACGAAAGCGTATCCCCGGAGAACGATTCAACCGGATAATGTTAGAGGACTAAACGTTAGAAAGTGCGAAACGTACTGGTTCGAAACTCGACACAGGAATAACCCTGGAATGGCAAGAGGCTGGTCGAGTCGCGGTGCAAAAGAGACGATCGTCTCTCTCTGCATCTTCTCTGGTCTTCTTGGCACCGACGATAGAAAAGAAACCGTGCTCTGCACTTGCTACGCTCGTCTACGATCTAAATTCGATCGGCACCGAGACCGAGTAAAAAGGAACGATCCACGGCAACGGTGGAGGGATCGGTGACCTTGAACGTTCCAAGATCGTCCGGACCAAAATTCGTTCAAGTGGAAGGTCGGTCAACGACGACCCCGAAATTCCAACGACTGCTCTGAACGTTAACTACACGAGCTCTGATTACGGCCAAATTTGTAAGCTGATTTTCTCGAAATTTTACCATCGTGAGCAACGTCAGACAGCAGTATATTACGATCGCTACAAGTTGGAATTTCGTGTTGATAGAATAGAGAATTTTGTGCATCGAAAGATTAGGATCATTTACGGAGCTCTACGTCTACTTGTTCGTCATCTACTGCGTCAAAAGATACAGAGATGATAGCCGGTGCAAAAGGCTAGACATCGAGATAGCCAACCTGATCGGTCGGACGCGGACTGGTCGACGTCCAAACTGCAGCTGCCGATGCTCTCCTGGCTAGTCATGTTAGGATGATGCCTGGCGACCACGTTGGTTGCGATTTTTGGATCCGGATCGAGACGACGGTAATTAAGGGGTTGAACCGCAAGGGAGACTGGCCTTATGCGGCGATTCGACCTGATGCCGCCGGCGCCGGGGACCGACGGCGTCAGCGTCGCGGCGCAGCAATCGGCAACGTCCTCCAAGCCCGCTACCTCGCCGCCGATGCCGCGTGTTTGTCCGCTAGCTCGTCGACGATCCTCGTCCCCGCGGTCCTCGTGCACACTGTTGATTTTCGTTTCGTTTTGTCTCGCCAACTATTTTCTTTCCTACCTCTTGTTTCGACCGGTTCGAATTTTTCTCTCTTACGTAGGAACAACCCGAGAAGGCTGTAATTAACCGAGTGCTAAGAACATTCCTCAAAAATGACGTGAAACTATTGCAACTCCCGGACTGTTCCTTCGTTAGCGCGAAGATAATGGATCTCGAATTTTTGATTAAAGAACACGGAAGTTCTTATCGCGTTGATGATCGGTGTCTCGTAACTTTCGATACTGACACCTTTTGGCTCATTTCCATGAAAGGAAAGGTACCGATTTTACTTAAAAATCCATTTTCTTCGGTAGAGTATTCGCGTAATGCTTCGATGCTCTGGAACTCTCTTCGTTGACGTCGTAACGATAGATCATGATGGATTCATCGTCGATTATCGAACGAGCAATTTTCTGTATTTCTCATAGAGAACATTATCAACGCTACGAGAAAGCGGAACGAATTATTATCGAGCTCGAGTCGTTCTAGCTGTTTTGTACGCATTGGACGACAAAAACCGCATCGATGACTAAAATCAATTTCTTTATTTCTTCGCGTTCGAATAGCTCCAAAGCATCGCGAACGTTGATTGGAAGCTGGTGCTGCATCGTAAGCAAACCAATTTCCGCATTGACTTTCACCGTGTCTTTTAATTAGGGATAAAACGATCGTTAACTCGAAAAGTTGGACCGGAACGTCGCCGAATCGCGATCGAATCGAATCAAATTCTAAGAAAATAATCCATTTCGTGGTACGTTTCGCTGCGATAGGTCTACGAGCGAGAACGAGGTAGAAAACCAGCACGAGATTATTTAGCAAAAATTCACGCTTGGTAATTTAGTATGATTACGCCAGTTGACTAAGTAAACGAATCTTATCGTTGCGAATCACGGAATAAGATCGGTCCCGGGACTTCGAAAAGCAAATAACCGACCGGCAAACTGATTCCGCTGAATCTAATTTTACGATTCGACCGATGGCAGAACGCAGACGAGACGGACGTAATAAATCGACGCTTCTGTTAATACACAGCACGAGCTTCCACGTTCTCTTCTCTTAACATAGAGTCTACTTTTTACGATGCATTTCCACGTGCCTGCAAATAGCGAACGTAACTCGAAGCTTTGCCGGAGTATCGTTGTTCGCAATCGTTTTCTAATTGCTAGTTTAATTATTTCGCTCGAATTAACAGGACGCTATTTGCACGCTAATTACAGAGAACCGTATCGGCAAAGTGCACAATCGCGGAGCAGTGTAAGCTGGTGCGTATCGCTCGAGAACGTATCTCACGCTGAAAGTTTTAAGAATCCATCGATACAATAAAATACCGTGTGTGCTTTAATGCTTTCAAGCCCTAACGAGATCCTAACGTAGAACCTTCGTCGCTTATACTTCTCTGTGCAAGTCGCAAAACTTTCACAGTGATCCACGTACGATTCACTTGTAAGAATCGCATGCATTAAAGGAATGATGGCTTGTGCGCAATAAGAAATCGCTACTGTACAACGGTCGCCTTTTAAATTGTGTTAATTGGATCTCGTGTGACACGTGGATTAATCTAGTGCTCTTCACATCGTGTACAATTGCTTGTTTCATGTAAGACATACACACATTCACGTACAATTTTCAATTTTGTTAAAGAGACGAGATTGTTAGTTGCACACGTGGGTATCGTACAAAACATGTCACAGTTTTCAAACGACAAACAAAATATTCCATTTGGATGATTATTTTCAGGATTGCACGGCGCAGTTTATCTATTTGAAACGGGTTACTTATTAACTAAATGCAGCAGAGGTAAAAGTGTCGTTCATAGGTGACAGAGATTCTGCAGCGATTCTCGAATCACCTATGCACGAACAGGGATAGCAGTCAAAGTGTTAAAAGGTCGTTGCATGTGTGTCGTGCAGCGAAAGCTGAAATATGCTAAGATAGTGCAAAGTGATCGAATCATACTTGATCGTGACTGCGTTAATGATGAATGTGAGCGCGTACTAGTTGGGAACGAACGAGACTGTACAAAATGTCAAGGAGTCATAAGAGTCTCTCGAGGCAAATATTGTCTGCAAATTTCACAGTCAAATCGTTAAAGAGCACGATTTATGCAATCGTTTCAAAGAAACCGTGCAAATTGCCTAGAAAATGGAGAGATGTCGCGACATTTTAACGACATTTGCCTTTGATGTAAACAGCGAAATTGTTGTTGGAATAAATTAAAACGATACGTGACAATCATGAAAATTTGTTAGAATAAATTAAGTAGTGGAAAGTCTCGTTAAATTATAAAGAGATACAAACCTCGCGCAAGACAGGAGTCATACACTTCAAAATTACAAAGTCACAAGAAGAAAAAAGAAAATGATTTATCGTACCTCCTACGCCAATGCTTCCAAAGCAAAAACTTTGAGACATTCTTTTTAGCCACGGGATTCACCGTGTACGTGCCACTCTCGATTTTAAGAGGCATCTTCGGCGACACTTTCAATCGTACTCGAGGCTCATCGATCGCGCCCTTCTCGATCAACTCCGAATATTACGCTCGGGTTGATATCGGAGCTGGACTACTCGCGTTTCTGTCACGATATTGATTCTAGTCGCTCTGAAAAGCCTTGATCGCCGTGAAATCGACTATTTATCACCTGCCGTTTAACCGTGAGCGCAAACACCGACCGACGAGACTGGAGTTAGGAAACGCGGCTCGTTAAAACGTTCTGAAAACCACTTTCTCGAGTTCTATCATCTTCTTCGCGAGTCACGACCCATAACGAATTTTTTTCTATCGATTTTTGACGAGACTTTCACGTTAATTCGAGAGAACACCCACTCGCGAATCGAGACGCTATCGCGAACAGTCGATTCTTATCTTTTTCACGCGATCTGTTCAGATCAAGTCTTTCTTCTCTACCGACGACCTTTGTCATCGGCAAGAACTCGCGAAGGCACGTTGCTAGGATGACTAGTTACCAAAGACTGGCATTCCCATCTCGTCTCTCTCTTCTACGGTTCTAACGCACTCTCTTCCTCTCTTTCCTCCCTCTTTATCTTACCCTCGGCACGAGGATATTTCGGGAGCACTCAAAAAACCACACACGAAAGCGCCCAAGTCGCTTCCTCCGCGCCATCTCCTCTTCATTTTCCCCTTTTTACCGGCCCTACATGTATCGCCGTTCCTTCCCAGCAACACAGATTACGAATTTCTTCGATCCTGTGCAGAGCTAATTTTTCCCTCTCTCTCGATACTCTGTCTACACATCGCCTCTGAAACGACGAAGATTCGTCTTCGTCATTATGTTCGACGTACGTTACAGATTGTACAAAAGCAAACTACTCTTCCCTTCGTTTCCTAATTTTTTTTAGCTCAAATTAGCTAATCTGGGGCAAAACCGGTAACGTATGTCCATAAAGAGAAGAATCGCGGGATACAAACTGTTTTGTGTAAAATTGAAAGAATAACACGGACAAAGAGATTTGGAACGGTGAAGAGTACGCGTGCGACGAAAGAAGGGATGTAGAAAAATCTGGGGTTAGCGGCTCGAACACGTGTCTGGCACGCGTACCGTTTCCACTGAAACTCTCGCGTCGGAGGAGAGGCTTGTATTTTCAATTTCACGTTCGTGAGAGCGGCAAAGTATCGCTGAAGGAGTTTGAAGGTAATAACCCTTTAAGCTTTCTCGAAGACGCTCTTTAGCACGCTGTCAATCTTTGGACGCTTTTATGACCCGTGTAATAGGTTGCTCTTGTATCTCGATTTCTAGCTCGCGTTCGTCGCATACAGTCCGAGAACTGCGACGTTGTTATCTTATATAAATATTTAAAACATCTGATCCGGTTGTTTACGAGACGAAAGGACCTCGCGAAACGAAGTTGCATTTAAAGTATTCTAATTTTATTCACTGCGTAAGTATCAGACGAGACTGTATTGCTGATTACGACACAAATATTTACCGGTATCCTCCGTTTCCTGTTCTGGAGAAACATTCAACCCTGACATTTCCCAAGCCGGCAGTGCGAACCAAAGACCCTGATTCTTTCCCTAACCGTGACACGGTGAAGCTTGTCAGTTTCAATTAGCTAGCCCATAAATCACGAGCACGAGTTTTGAGGGTTTCCAGAAATAGAGGAGCGACAGAGTCGATCGATCCGAAGCGAAGATCCATCGATCATCGTCAAACTTGCCGCTCTAATGAGATCAAAGTTCACCTCGGTACCTGGTCTCGAGCGATTGATCTCTCGGACGAAACGGGCGTTCGTAGAACTTAAAACGCGCGCATGGTTCGCGTTCGTTTGATTTTGGAACGAATGTATCGCGGTCGACGAAAAAGTCATTCGGAACGACATAAATAAAGTCAGCGCGCACGCATGACTAGCGTGAAACAAGAGCTGCCGTCTGGGAATGCAGAAAGCGCAGCTATGAATTCAAATGCAATATGGTGCGCCTGTTCCATTCTAAGGGCGCAGCTGGACGCTTGGAAAATTATTTGAAGCAGACCTTCGAACGCGCGAGATTGCATTGTCGATCGTTGTATGCATCGTGAGGAGCACAACTGGTTGCGAATGCATTCGATGGAACGCGCACTCGCTTTTCTGCTTCAGAAATATGGTTTCCGTGTAACACGAACAGGGCTGTAGGAGTGGAAAATTCTTAACAACCAAAAAACCAGCGAATATCTCTTCGTTCAGGAGTACCAAATGAATAAAACGGGCGTAGGAGAATCATAAATGGAGCGTAGATCGTGTACAGGTTATTATTCTTCTGTAAGAAACATTGAACATAAAGTTTGAGCACCTGATCTTATCTTACTGCGGTCAAGTAATGATTCGAGTTGCAAACGCGATAAGCTATCTTAAACTCAGCGTTTAGCAACGTGTTTCGCTGTTGGAAACGGACCGCAACAAACGTGCTGGTAAGCAATACCGAAACATTACGCTGCTCTAATGTTTCGTAGAAACTGTTGTCGAAGTTGATCGTTGAA